AACAGATTCAGAACGTTGCATTTCCTACTGAGTTGGAGACCCTTCGAGGACTTCAAGGCAAACCGAACTACGGTACACGAGAATCGGACAAGAATAAAGTATTGAAGAGAACGAGTTCTCTTTACACCTTGTACCCGTTCGTAGACGAGCAGGGAGTTCTCAGAGTTGGAGGGAGAATAAGGAGAGCAAGTTTTTCAGAATCTCTCAAGAATCCAGTCATCTTACCAAAGTCAAGCCACATTACGTCACTTATAATCAGTCATGTCCACAACAAGACACATCACAGCGGTAGAGGAATCACGCTCAATGAACTTCGCTGCAGTGGGTACTGGATCATCGGCGGAAATGGCATGGTAAGACGGTTCATTTCAAGGTGCGTAAAGTGTTGTTACCTCAGAGGCAAAACGGGTGAGCAGAAGATGGCTGATTTGCCACGGAACGCGTAGAACCCGCGCTGCCCTTCACGTATTGCGCGGTGGATTATGTCGGGCCTTGGTATGTAAAGCGAGGAAGATCAATGGTAAAGAGATACGGAGCATTATATATTTACCTGTTTAGCAAGTTGTGCAATCCATATTGAAGTCGCTGACACTATGGAGACGGATTCGTTTATCCAAGCGCTAAGAAGGTTTATTTGTAGAAGAGGCCCAGTCCAGTCCGAGAAATTCGCTGTGACAGAGCAATCGAGGAGATTGATGACGAAAAGGTAAAGACAGAGCTACTGAAAGACAATATCGATTGGATTAAGAATCCAGCCTCCGCGAGCAACTTTGGAGGCGTGTGGGAAAGACAAATTCGGTCAATCAGGAACGTCATGAATGCGCTTATGAAGGAACACGGGACTCAAATGGACGAAGAAATCTTGAGAACATTCTTATGTGAAGCAGAAGCCACAGTTAATAGCAGACCTTTGACAGTAGAAACCCTCAACGATCCCCTTTCTGAACCATCATTATCCCCAAGCATGCTTCTTACAGGGAAGACGAAGCTTGTATTGCCCCCGCCGGGAGAATTCAAGGGAGAAGACATGTATTGCAAGAAAAAATGGAGAAGAACGCAGCATTTAGTGCAAGAGTTTTGGCAGAGATGGAGCAAGGAATACTTGCAGCAACTGCAATCGAGATCCAAGTGGACGCAACCAAAGAGAAATTTTACGACGGGAGATGTTGTCTTGCTGCGAGAAGTTCAATATCCAAGAAATAAGTGGCCCCTGGCTAAAGTTGTGCGTGCTCATCCAGATGATCAAGGCCAAGTTAGATCGGTTACGGTACTGACGCCGAATGGATCTATGCTCGAAAGACCATTAATAAGCTTGTTCTGCTCTTAGAGTCAGAATAGACCGGGATTCCCCAACGAGGAGCCTGAACGTTCGGTACAGACATTTATATTGAACAATTGAACGCTCTCATACGCTAAGGACGATGAAATCATGGCGAGTAGCATGAATGTTATTGATTGTTGTAGTTCATATTATGTTGATAAAAAATGTTATTGTAGTTGAACATTTTTTGGGAGCCATGTTACTGCTCTAGGGCTTCCTGTGTTGAGTGGCGCATGCGCAGGCATCGTTCTGGCATGGCGGCCGCGAGGCCACCGAGTTTTTACCTTTTGAGACTGTATTTTGTGATATTTTAAGTTTATATTTCGTTTATATTGACAATAAAAAGTTGTTACTAAATCAAATGAGTGTTGGCTCAGCCTCGTAGATATTTTTGACACGGAAAAACGCAAAAGGCGCCTTGCCAGCTACAGAAAAGTAAAGGAATGTTTCATTTTATCAAATTACGGATTGCTAGTATTATATGAGGTTATGCAATAACAAAGGTTAACAGCTATGGGAACCAAGCCTCGTTACGTCGGCACATCATGTGACCAAAAGGGGGCCGGGCGAGTGTGTAATAAGAGATTGGCCGCGCATTGGTGGTATTAGTAATCATTGTGCGTTGGAAGCGTAGTAAACGTATTAGGAATAAAGATTTTTTTGGCTCGTCCTGTTGCCTACATATCAGCAGAGTTCGTCATCGGGCTTCAGAGTTCAGACGGCAGTATCGCAGATTTCTAACCGTACTGGCAGGGCACCAACGGAAGGAGCGTCGCAACTCGAGATGATGGGAAGCCCACCGCAAGTTTCGCTCGTAAAAAAACCCACCAAAAAACAAACCCAGTCAGGTAGACGATAGTTCTCTTCGCCAGAGTACAGGTATGTTTGTTGTTCATTTGTTGACGGTATTAATGTTGTGGCGGAATCCGAGACTATTTCCGCAGTTAGCAGCATGCTCGGCGGTGTAAGCTAAAATATAAATAAAGAACGGAGCTGCCCCTGTTTACCTTTGAGGGCACAATGGTGGTGCAGAAACTTAATGCGCATAAAATAAAGAACGCGGTTATAGAATGGGTAGTATGTTTTATAATAGCTACACGGCGGTGCTCACAACCCATATTCACGTCAAGGTCGCGCGATTTGTGGGTTTACATGGCGCCGATCATTCGGACAACTAAACGTTTCAGAGGCAAAG